GTATTTTTACAGTTAAAATAAATGTTTATCAAATAAAGTCTAATGTTAGAACTAATCGTGGATCCCTTTAAAGGCACTGTTTAATAATAAAGTCTCTGCAGCTGATTGGATTGAACACATTGCCGTGGTCTGCATGTTAAYATTAAACCACTACAGGTACGCCAGCGGTGAGGTGTACGAGGGCTGTTTCTGTGACGGCCAGCGTCACGGTTATGGCATGCTGAGTTCAGGCAAACAGGACCGGACCTCCTCCAGCGTTTTCATCGGCCACTGGGTCCACGACAAGAAGACGGCGTACGGAGTCTTCGACGACATCACCAGGTTCGTCATTTGTTGTCCTGATTAGAAATCAAATATATTAGTGGGTAAGTTTAAAATTTATCCTGGATCTTCTTTTTTTTTTTTTTTTTTGCCCCAAGAGGTGAGAAGTACATGGGGATGTGGCTGGACGACCAGCGGCACGGCAGCGCCGCTGTCGTCACTCAGTACGGCGTTTATTTCGAGGGCACGTTCAGAGAAAACAAGATGGCTGTAAGTGTGACGTCGAACACGGACCTGCTCAGAGAAAATCTTGACCGGTTGTGTTTTTAACACGCTAACAATTGTAACGAGTTGGAAAATAAATCACAATTGTCGCGCATTTGTCCTGTTTTGTGTTCATCTGTCAGGGTGTGGGTCTGTTAGTTTCTGAAGACGACACGGTTTTTCACGGGGAGTTTTCTAACGACTGGACCGTCAGCGGAAAAGTAATAAAAACACCCATTATTTGTTTTTAAGTTCTATTTTATCACTATTTATTTTACTCAGTAATAGAAAAATCAAAAAGAAAACCATAAGTAGGTCCTCTGGATGGGAACCGTCCAGAGGACCTACTTGTGGTTTTCTTTTTGATTTAAAATGTAACTTTTTTTATTTTATACACTGTTTTCAGTTACTAAAATACAAATTCTTAATTTGTTACTTGGTGATAAAGTTATAGGAATGACATATTTTGAATTTCCTGACTCTGCAGGGTGTTTTGACTCTGGCCAACGGTGACTGTTTGGACGGTTTGTTCACCGGAGAGTGGAGAGCGGGCCTGAAAGTAGTTGGAACGTACACCAAACCGCACGCCGACGAGTGTGACGATGGCGACGGAAACAACCTGCCGTGAGTTTAATTTGTTTCAAACCCGTCTTYATGTTCCGAACTGATTTATTTTGTAAAACTCAGGCTGGGTCAGTACGCRGTGCCGGCTGCTCAGAGGTGGACCTGCGTGTTCGACGAATGCTGGGCTCGGCTCGGCTGCGACGCCGCCGGGAGAGGGGAGAGGACCGCGGCCTGGGAGAACATCGCCGTCATCATCGCGACGGCGCGCCGACAGAGGTAGACGTCGTTGCTGACTTGTGTGCGACTGTTGTTGCGAATTTATGAAGTGTGTGCCTGTGCGTTTGTAGTCCGGACCTCACTAAGTCTCAGAGAAAAGTTCTGGAGAGTTTGGAGTTCATTCCTCAGCACGGAGAACCCGTCACCACGTCAAGTTACGACAACATAAGAAGATACCTCGTTAAGGTGACTCTGTCTTTTAATGATGATGTAATAACAGTGATGATAATAGGCGCTGATGTTTGTGTGTTTGTGCRTTAGGCGTGTGCGACTCCGCACCACCCTCTGGGCTGGCTGGTGGAGACGCTGGTGACGGCCTACAGGATGACCTACGTCGGCGTGGGGTCGAACCGCCGGCTGCTCCGGCAGGCGGTCCAAGAGCTCCAGGCCTACCTGACACACTTCTACAGCATCATCAGGTAGCTCCTCCTCCTCCTCCTCCTCCTCTTCCTCAGGTGTTTGAGTCAAGACAAAACGAGGAGAGAATGGGCAGATGTGGGAAAAAAAAAACAGGAAGCAAAAAACATCCAAGATCTGAAACTTTTTGAAAAGACTTGGAGTAAAACAACTCATTGATTTGTTTTTTTTTTAGGAGTTTGTGATGTTTAGACAGGTTTATAGTGTGAATGCTTCATTTACCATTTTACCATTTATACTTTTGGCTGTTTTGACTATTTAACTACAAATTGTCACTTTTTCCCCTTTTATGGTTTTTTTTTCTACTAATCAGTGTTCTATAAAGTACCTCAAAGTGATACTTGAGTAAAAGTACAAGTATCTTATCATAAACATACTTCTATAAAAATATTACTTGAGTAAAAGTACAAGTATCTTATCATAAACATA